TCAAGTCCCACCTTAACCATGAAAGATGGCTGGGTAAATTTGGGCCAGTCTCTCTCAGCCCAACATACTTCACAAGGCGGTTAGGGTGGGGAAAATAGGAAGGTGTGTTGAAGCCGCTCTCTGTCTTGAGTTATTTGTAAAAATAAATGTTTTGATGCATTTACATTTTACATAATGAGTTCAATTTAGCATCATGCCTCTTCAATCTATGAAAAGTTTATGACCCAATTTTTCATGCCTTGGAATAAAGACATTTCTAGTTCTCCCTCTGAAATCTTCTACGCTCTCCAAAAACCACCCCAATGATAAAAGAACCTTCTAAAATATAAGATCCAACTCAAGAAATTTTATTTTTCTTCCAGTATGACATGGCCAGAACATTTAAAGAACACTGCTTAAGCATTACACTGCTTTGAAATTAGGAATATGACAGATCAATACATTCCATGTTCTTAAATAGCAACGGTATTTCATAGAGACCGTATATTACTTTCCCCAAAAGTTGAAAAATTTGTCCCTGAAATATCCAGATAGGTAACAAAGCCTTATAGGCAGACTATACATTTAATCACCTTAAAAATATCTACACAGAGGCAAACCATAGGTTTTTAAAGCCAAAGTTCATTGCAAGGCAGAGATGGCACAGAGAAACCAAAATGTATTTTCAGGTTTACCTTTTTTAAGATGCTAACAAGATATGGAACAAGCCCGTGGTCCACAACCTTCTGGATCTGATCCTGGCGGCCAGCAGTTATGTTAGACATAGTCCATGCAGCTTCTTTCTGGATGTTGTTTTTGGGGTGAATAAGCAGACTTGGGAAGACAGCTAATGCTCCAGCATCTATTACTGTTTGAGTTTGCTCATCAGTCCCTGTTACAATGTTTCCTATAGCTCTTAGTGATGGAGTCTGGAAAAAGAGATTTAAGATACTGAACAAGAGGAATTGTCTTGGGCTGCATATAAAATATATCACATAGTTAACGCATATAAATCACATGTTGAAAGTTGAAGATTTTGTGGGGCCACCTGACGAGCTGTCCAGGACAGCATGTGGCCCACGTACCATGGTTGGGCACACTTGGTCTACAGAATATGGAAGAAATCCTTGCAATATCTCCTCAGTATTCACATGCAAGCCCGCCCACCACAAAAGTCCTTGATGTAATTCTCAGTACTACTATTCTTAGTATATACTAAGTATATACTATTAACATAACTGTTTAGCCAACTGTTAAAAGATACCTAGATCTTCTTCATCATCATAACCATACAACAGCAACATTAGAGGAAGATAGTATACCCTTTGTCAAAAAAATCTTATTTCAAATTATACAGTAAGGGACACCTTTGTGAAATTCACGTATCTGGTCAAATTCCATGGCTACCCAAATCAGCACTGACTCCTGGCAACTGCCTGAAAATGTCCCTGCAGTTTTCTTGGAAAGATATCAAAGTTTATTTATTTTTGCTAATGCCTGCTCCCTAGGACTAAGAGAAAGTGACTGGTCCAGTTAGCTTTGAGCCTAAGGCAGGACTAGAACTCGATAGTATGGAAAACAGTTATGTCCAGATAGAAAATTACAAGGATATTTCAATAATTTCTGTCAATGAAGGAGGTATAGCCATCTCAAGATAACACTATACACCCAAAAGAGCTTGCATTTTGATCAACATCAATATACTGAAAAGATTTCTAAACCAAAGAATATTAAAAGTACATTTCTCAAGAAGTTGAGATTACTACACTTGAGTTGGGAACTGCATCTCCCGCAATAGTTTATATGAAGAATCTCAATACTTCATAACCTTCACTAATTTATGTATGTGGCTATCTTACCATTATTGGAACTTCTCCACATGCTAGCAGTTTCACCAATTGTGGCACTAAGCCAGTTTTGACCACTACTTCAATTCTATCATTTGACCCATCAGTCAAATAAGAAATAGCCCAACATGTGTCTGCCAAAACTTCATGGTCATGGTGATGCAGTAGGCGAACTAAAGTGGGCAGAATCTGTTCAACAGCTTCAATGGGTGGTGCAGGATTCTTGTTACGGCAGAGGTTTGACAGAGTCCAAGTTATGTTACGTAAGTAGCCAACCTGGAAAAATAAACATTGTTATGATTAAATAATGTTGAAATTGTTTTTCACAGTTAAGATTTTAGCTGAGAATTCACACTTACAGATATAGAAGAGAGATCAGGAACAGCAAGCAGAGCCAAAAGTGGGTCGAGTGCACCATATTTAATAACTAAGTCTCTATAAGTAGAGCCATCACCTGAAGGCAGAAATAAAGAGTGTCAAATGCTAAGACTCATATGGAATGACTGCTAATTCAGGGCAGGAATATCACCATGGCAAGCTGACTTGATCACAATCCAAGCATGACAACGATAATATAACTGCCATGGAAAACTGTTCAAGGAGAAGGAGAAACAAGAAAGAAAGCCTGTTGATAACAGCATTAAAACCCTTGGCAAACTAGCCACTAGCAACCAGGAGCCAAAGAACATTGCAGTCACAGATGTTAGTCATTGAATGCCCCCAAGTGGAAATGATTTCAACATTAGCATTGCAGAGTTGGGAAAAAAATCTTGAAATGTACTGAAATGTACAAAATCTTACATAATTTCCAAACACCATAATCAAGATTTGAAGGACAAGGGCATAGTTAACAAATGCCCATATATTTAGTGATATCTCCTCAACCCCGAACATTTAATGTTATGAATTCTAGAAACAGCTCTGAAATAGCTACATAAGTTCCATATAATACTGCGCCCTCAGCTCTTAATGTTGAAAATGTTGGCATAGGATTGTACTTGGAAAAAGTTATATACCTATGCATTATATAAATATGAAAAAAATGTCTTGAATTTCAAATGAAACACATTGTTCTGCATACTATTACTTATAAGAAGCATGCCAGTTTTACCAACTTACCTGCGATATTCCCCAAAGCCCATACAGCTTGCTCACTAATGTGAGTATGAGAAGAAGCCAGAAGAGATATAAAGGCAGAAATTGCTCCACCCTCTACTACAGCTTTTGTCTGGTCAGATGTGCCGGAAGCAATATTGGTCAGTGCCCAAGCAGCTTCAAACTGAATAGGGCTGCAGTTTGCTTTTCCCAAAAAGGACACAAATTTTGGTATCAAGCCAGCTCTAATAATCTGGTCTATAGGGGGCTGCTTTTCTCGGGACAGCAGTTTCCTATGTGTAAGAGAAATAAATTTAGCTTTCCTAGCTATACTTCAGAGAGAAAATTTACATTTCCATGACAACAGTTGCTAGTCATATTTTATTTTGGAAACTTGACCACTATGGTTTCAGTTAGATACAGAACAATATTTCTTTTGCTGCAAGGCATTTTATATAAGATGCAAAATCCCTGTCTAGTGGCAATAAACATGGATGAGGTTTAAACAGTTTTCGGTACTCATATAAGCAAATCCAAAGTTTTCAAGCAATTAACTAAGACTAAATGAAATATACTATCACTTATACAGTACCTTACATATTTCCAACTAATGCTTTATTTTGTACCAGTATCTTGTACCAACAGATGTTTTCAGAATCAAATTAGGTTGCCAATTTGTACCCTAAAGTTACTGTCATCTAACCATTAGATATCAACTTGGTTCATATCCTGCATAAAGCCACAATTTTCTGGATTACACACTGCATTACCAAAACTAAACAAAATTAGATTTTGGTTAACCCATTAAATAAGAAAAATGTGCATTCTTACTGTGCTAAAAATACCTGTATTACTATGAAACCTCAGATTACATTTTTTCAGCTCTTATCTCCAGTTTGTGTCATGCAGAGTAATGCGTATTGACAGTTACCTGGCAGCCTGAGTAGCCTGCAGCTGGTATTCTAAATTAGTATTATTAATGCCTTTAACAATTTCTTCAACAGACCAGTGGACAGCAACCTACAAGGCAACATTTTCAAACAATTACATAGAGTTTAACAATTGCTGTATTCTTGGAAAACCTCACTACAACATTACATACACAAACCTTAATTTTACAGTTTCCTTCACTAAAATAGAACAAAACAAGATATTTCCTTTTGACATTCCAATGTTCAAATTTATTGTTTACAGAAGTCAAACAAAACTAGATCAAAAATTTGTTATTCTAAATGAGGAAGGCCTACAGTTCAATGATAGTGAACAGAAGGCCTCAGATTGAATCTCTACCCTCTTCATTTGGACTGGGAAAAAATACCTGTCTAAAACCAGTACAACTTAAAGCAGACAACTAAAGGCAAATCTTCAGAAGGCTTATAAAATAGGCACTTACCTGATTGCCCCGATTTTCTTGCAGAGGTGAAGTGGCATCATCTGGAAATGTGCCTACATTTCGCCTTTTAAGCATTTGGTCATCTTTTTTAGCTTTTCTCAACTCTACATTGACTTCCATCCGTCGTCGCCTCATTTCCTAGTGAAAATACATTGAAAAACTGAGCTATGGCTTTAAAAATACAAGTAGTTGTATCCACAGTTGACAGTTACTCACATCGGAATCTTTGCCCTTGTTCTTGAATCTGTTCAGGCGGGCAGCCGTTGCCCCAGCATTCTCATTGGTAGACATTGTGAATGTTATATAGATATGCCTTTAAACCTATAAAGAGACCCAGTAGTTAAAATTGAGATACTAGCCTTTAACAATATTGACTGCAGAACTGCAGTTGGCATCTATTTGTAAATTACCTATAGCTGGTAAACACTGGAAAAGATGCAGTTTACAGCCTAAGAGGCAGCTCTGTTCCAAGCCTATTTTATTCAAACCTAAATGGTAGTTATACTTAAACTTTCCTAGTTTGAGAACGTTTAAGATACACAGTTGCCTTGGTTTCAAACTTTATGCGTCTGAATAAGGGGATTAGAGTCCTGCATCAAAGCATTTTTTCTCTTCCGAAGGAAATGAGCTCAACAATTTCTGAACTTATTTCCTTTACTCTGGAAATTTACTTTAGGCCGGCAGTTACTCTTGAGGAAAATCCATTGAAACTGCGAAAGAGAATTTTAAGGCAGTAGGCATTACACGTAACGCTGTTGTTATCCTTATAGCCCGTCTCCAAGCACACAGCAACTTACTGGCAGTATTCACAAGACCCCAAACCAGCCCACCGCAATTTGTACCCTCGCCTGTTGGGCGAACTCAGTTCTCATAAATTTCCAGTCCCGCGCGTCGTGCGAACCCAGAAAAGTGAGCCAAATTGAGTAAATCTTGCCTAAACGAGCCACTCACGCCAACGAAAAGTGTCGTGCATGTTTCCCGAGCTAGGAAATGAAGCTTTCGTGAAACAACGTAACAAATTACAAACGAGCGGCGGCAGAGAGAAGGAACCATCCCGGTCTGGAAAGCTCTTGAACATTTCCCAGGCTTTTGAACCTTCTCCACACAGCCTGCCGACGTTTCCCCGCTTTCGGACCCTTCGGGAAGCCTGCCTCCCCTGCTCACCCCTCCGTCCTAAGGCTCAGCGCACCTTTCGCTCCTCCAGACCCGGCGCGGCTCCGCCACTTACCCGGCAGCGCCCCAACACGTTGCGCCGAACTGCTGGAGCTGCGAAACTCCCCACTCTCGTCCCCCTCCGCGAGGTGTGATTTAAACTTCTTGCGGCCTCACGCTCTCATTGGTGAATTCGAGTCCAAGCAAACCTCTCATTGGCCAGTTTGAAAAAATATAAGACGCTCGGCTCTCGCGTTCCTGGGGGGGGGAGGGAGGGAGGGAGGGAAGTGTCTCTCGCGAGTCCGAGATCTCGCGATCGTTAGGTTCAACGCCCGCGCGCGAGGCCCGTGGAACTACATTTCCCAGCGTAAAGGGCGGCGGTTTGCGGAGCAAACGTTACGAGACAAACTCCGCGTGGGGTAGAATCGCCAGCTTGGTTACCGGAGAGTCTTAATTGTTTATGGTCAGATATACCTTTTTTCAAGTGGTGACCCTATGGATAGCCGGCTAGCGGTGAACGGTTCTAGATAGGCGGTAGATCAGTTTCAGGCCGGCAAACCTGGAGGAGGAGTTAGAACGCGACCAGCCTTCGAATCCGCTCAAAGGATAGCGAGATGAGGGGGCGTGAGCTGGTAGAACACGAGGCTAACCGAGGCGGAGGGCGTGACCAATATCTTAGTGACGGGAAACGAAACCAGGAGGGAAAGGACGCACGTAGGTGGGCGGAGTCATACGTGGTCGGGAGGGGCCCTTAGAATGCGGCTCTCACAGCTCTTTGCCGAGTGACCCAGTGGCCTAATGGATAAGGCATCAGCCTCCGGAGCTGGGGATTGTGGGTTCGAGTCCCATCTGGGTCGTTCGTAGCTATTGTTTTGCAGCCGGATTAAAATTTATGAAGACTCGACGATGGGTTTCTTGGGCTTTGTTAAGTGGCTTTGGTCTTCGTTCTCACCATCGGTCTGGAGCGGAATAAAACAAACTCTGACCATCCATCTCTTGACGCGACGAGCGCGAGATTGGGCGCGAGCGTGACTTGTTAGTATTCAAGCTACCTCGGGAAACTTTGTGGGTTTCCTCTGCTCAAAAACGGTTGTTAGCCCCCCCAGATGGGGACCTGGGGATCCTTTCCACGCTGTGCGTGGCTGGCTACAAGCAATCTTGGGCTCCCGCGAAAATACTTTGTTTCGTATCTTGCGGATAAAACTAAAGGGAAAAAAAAGTTTAAATCGGTGTTTTTCAAACTTGGTTGTGAACTTCAACTCCCAGAATTCCCCGTCCATCCTTCTGGCTGGGGAATTCTGGGAGTCGAAATCCATACCTCTTAAAAGTTTCCAAGTTTGAAAAACACCGGTTTAAAAGCATTCACATTTGTGGTCAACAAATGCTCCTTAGCTTTGCAGTTAAGAACTGGTTCATGAAATGCAAAATATATTCTCATGAATTAAAAAGTACCTTAAATTGTTTAAAAATGCAGTTTGAAACAGACAAACAAACTACACGGTTTTCTATAGAGCAGGCGTATTCTGTGGTGGTTCTGCAAATTTTATGGGGATGAAATCCTGTGTCAGTTGCAGGTGCCAAGACTTCACAAAAAGTTCTGGATCTCAATTTACTAGAGGCTTGTCTTTTATTGACATTAAGTTAGATATATGGCCAGTTTTTTTTTAACTTCTTGCACATGGTATTTGTTCCTGGTGACTGCCTGCCCTTGCAGTTTTCTTGGTATTTTGGAAGTGGTTTGCCCTTGTCTGCTTCCCAGGGCTGAAAGAGAATGACTGGCCTAAGGTTATCCAGTTGGCTTGGTGCCTAGGTTAGGATTAGAACTCATCATCTGCCAATTTTATCCATTATACCAACCACTACACCAAACACAGCAACACCAAACACAGCAACAGTTTTAATCCCACTAAAACTCTGTTCTATTTCAGCACTGCTAACAAGTACAGGTAATCTTTACAACAGTTCATTTAATGACCGTTGAAAGTTACAACAGCACTGAAAAAAGTGACTTATGACCATTTTTCACACTTACGACCATTGTAGCATCCCCAGGTTTCACGGGATCAAAATTCAGATGCTTGGTAACTGATTCATATTTATAAAGGTTGCAGTGTCCCGGGGTCATATGAATACTTTTTGTGACGTTCTGACGAGCAAAGTCAATGGGGAAGCTAGATTCACTTAACAACCATGTTACTAATTTAACAGCTGCAGTGATTCACTTAACAACTGTGGCAAGAAAATGGGGGTAAACTCACTTAACAAATACCTCACTGAGCAACAGAAATTTTGGGCTCAGTTTTGTCAAGAACTACCTGTATTGTATTTTAAAAAGCAGCTTTAGTGATTGCAAATGGAAAAGAATTTCTAGTTATTTAACAGTATTTGTGAATTCCATTACAAAAAATACTCAGGCGATATACAGTAAACAGAATATAATGCAAATTGTTAATATAAATAGTAAACTAAAGAACATTACAACAACAATCAGATGGCTGTCCACAATCTCCCTTTGAGCCAAAGGCTCATTTTGATTCCATAAGCCTTATAATTATGAAAGCTGCCTCCAAATTTTAACAGCTGATTCAAATATGCTACTTTTCTCCCTCAAACATTTTGTCATTGCAAATTTTATAAATTAGCCAGTTTTTTGTAAATCTGTAGGAAATGATTGTACAGCAATTAATAGCACAGAAATGGATTAAAAATACCAATCATTAGAAGTTAAGAGATTCACATTTGTTGCTATTTTTGCTATACTGAAACCCCCCTTCTTTTTCAAAATATGTATGTAGAATTGGATATGCTCTTCAGAGAAGCAACATGATGCCAGACAATTGTGGTCTTGATTATAACAGTTTTGATTTGTAAATCTGCAATTTTCTCAATTCTGAGGTAACATTTCTTCAGTTGAGAACATAGAACATAGAATAATAGAGATGGAAGGGACCTTGGAGATCTTCTAATCCAAACCCTTGCTTGAGCAGGAGACCCTATATACCATTTCAGACAAAAGGTTGTCCAGTCTCTTTTTAAAAGCCTCTGGTGATGGAGCACCCACAACTTCTGAAGGCAAGCTATTCCATTGGTTGATTGCTCTCATCGTTAGGAAATTTCTCCATACTTCTAGATTGTTTCTCTCCTTGGTTAGTTTCCATCGTTTTTTGTCTTGCCTTTTGGTGCTTTGGAAAATATGTAAAATATTTTTTCTCCTGCCAACACTCCTTATTCAGAATTGTTTAAAAGGTGCTTTTGGTTCATTTGTTTCTGTGCTTATGTTTGTGTCTTGAGGATCACTGATTGATAAAAAGATACAAAACCGATAAATAAATTCCCCTTTATTTATAAAAGTATTAGAAAGAAATGTTACCAAGATGTTTCTGAGCCAGGAATAAAATACACAGGCAGTTGCACTAAGACAATCTCTTCATTCTTAGGTATGTTTAAAGATTCCATCTTCCCATTCACAGTTAATAATTGGCACTGAGATACGTAACTATACTAGAAGTTGACTTTTTATATATCACATCTGAGATCTTCCAAATTATGTTGGATACCAACTCTTGCCAATTTTAGCAAACAAGACTAATAGAGAGATCAGAGTCAAAAAGTATATTAAAGTTACATGTAATTTACCTTTGCCTTAAATGTAGCAGGCAAAGAACTATCTACTTTCATAAGAATTGTCCTAATCACTTAACGTTGTAAATACATGCTGGTAACCAACCATCCAGATTTTGATAATATGACCATGGGTATGCTGCAATGGTCATAAGTGTGAGAACTTTTTTTAGTACAGTTGTAACTTTGAATGGTCGCTAAACAAATGGTTGTAAGTCAAAGAGTTCATGTATACAGTTCAACATTTGCTTTTTTCAAGGCAAATGCATCTCGGAATGTATCCCAATGTTTCCAGTGAAGACAGTACATTAAAAGCCCGTTATTGTTGAAGGCATTGAGGAATCTGGTAGGAAATATCTCTGAAAGGATAATCAAAGGTGTCACAGGTTGTCTACTAGTAGTATAAAATTTAGGACATTAAATCCACCCTATACTTTTTGCAAGAGTCCAAATCAAACCATTCCCAATAGCTGTTTAGTGTCTACTTCAGGGGTGGGCAATTATGGCCCCTTTACAACCTGTGGACATCAACTCCCAGAATTCCTGAGCCAACCAGTCTCCCATCCCTGCTCTATGTGATACATCCAACAATTGGGAACCCAAGACCTCTTTGCATAATTATTTTTATTAATAAACTCTTCTTGCTGTTACAACATTTTTTTTCTGTCAGCTCCTGTTAATAGTACCTTGTTTGTTCGGTCAGAAAGATCTTCCTTCTCCTGCAATCTGCAGTGTAGCTACTCAATGCACCAATCCTTGTCCACTCTTACCAAGCTTCTCCCCATAGTTAAATAACATAATCTATTCCTATGACCCCTTTCTTTTTCATATGCGTCCCATAATTCTATGACGTGAGAGTGATCTTTATTCTTGCATTATTTTTTATTTTGGCTTTATTTTTCCCCACCCCCTTTCGAATATTTTTTGTTCTCCTGCTATAATTTTTCATTCTTAGCTGTTTTTTTTAATTTCCCCTAAATCTTGGCTCTTAATTTTTTTTATCTTTACTGACATTTAATACTGTAAGATTTGTTTAAATAATTCATTTTGATTTGTCCCATTTTTAGTGGTTTAACAACCCTTTCTGATTTCTCCTATCTTTCTCTTATTATATTGATTTACTTTAGATTTACTTCCTGATGCTTTTTTTCTTTGTGTTATGATTTTTATTTAGTTAGAACTCATTCTTTTTCCATCATTCAGTCTTATTCTAATAACTCAGCTATTTTATTCTTTTACCTTTTTTGATCATTTGCTCCTTATTCATGTTACATTTGCCTTGGTACTCATCCTTAATTGGTTCCGGGAGGCATAAGTACCAAAAATGATAAGTACCAAATACATTTTTCCCATAAGAAATAATGTAGTGAGTCACAAGGCAGCCGACACTGACAACTTCTAGCTTGTGCATTCAGTACCAAGTAAATGATGAGTACTGGGGCAAAATTT